GTCTCCACACTGTGCTGGGGCCCCAGCTGTTGCAATAAAGCACTTTACTGTGCTTTATAAAATGCATAACGATAAGAAAGGAATAAGTAAAACTGTTTATCTGCATATCACATGGTTGCCTGCATATGTTAATGAACCTGAAACTACTGAAAGTAAATTCAGCAAGATCACAAAATACAAGGTGAATACATCAAAAACAAAATGCGTTTTTATATACTAGCAGCAAACAACTAGAAAGTGTATTTTCAAGAAATTCCACTCACCACAGCATCAATAAACACAAAATACATTTAAACAAAGATGTGTAAGACCTTCACACTGTGAGCTACGCAACACTTCCAAAAGAAATGAAAGAAAAGCAAAATGATTGCAAAGATAATCCGTGTTCAAGATGGAAGACTCAAAGACATCAGATCCCCACAGATTCATCTACAGATTTAAAACAGCCCTATTTATTACAACTTGCAGTAGGCTTTGGGGGAGTTTTTTTGCCCCCCTTTTGGGCAGAAATCAGCAGGCTGATGCTAAAATGTGTATGGAAATGCTAAGCACCTACAAGAGCCAAAACAACTCTGAAAAGGAAGAATGAAGTCGGATGACAGACGCTGCCTAACTTGGAGGCGGACCGCGCAGGCGTCAGGAGGAGGACGGCGGGGCGTGGGCGCCAGGGCTGACAGACCCGCCCATGGACAGAGCACAGCCCAGAGACAGACCCACGTTTCCAGCCCAGGACTGTCGACCACAGGCCTTATGGCATCCAGCGGGATGAGGAGAGTCTTGTCAGCACACGGTGCCGGAACAAACACGTATCTGTGTGAGAGAAACACACAAACGTAAATGCCCACCTCACGCTGCACACGAAATTCAGTTCAAGGCAGATCGTAGAACTAAATGTAAAAGCCAAAACTGTCTTTGTTTTTGGAGAAAAATATAAGCAGCTCTTTGTTACTGAAGGTAAACAAGGTCTTCTTAGGTCACAGAGAGCAATGATCATAAAAGAAAAACAGAATAAATTAGACTTTGTTAAAGTCTAAACTTAAAGCTTCTAGTCATCAACGGACACTTAAGAAAGTGAGCAGGCAAGCCACCACCGGGAGGTGTAAGGCACACCCCGAAAAGGCCTGGCTTCCGGGGTGTAAGCAACTCCTACGACTCAGGAACACAGTTACAGCCCATCAAAACAGGAAAAGACGTGACCACACACTTGAGGGAAGATGTATTAGTACAAACGACCAACACACTCCCAAGAAGCCCTCAACATCCAGTCATCAAAGAAATGCGGATTAAAACCGCAACCAGATACCACACATCCATCGGAATGAAGCAAAGACCAACGCTGTCAGACGTTGGCAAGAACGTGGACAACCACCAGGACGCCAATGTGTTCAGCGCAAGTATAAGCATCTTTGGTGCGATCGCCTCGGGAAGAGCTCTGACCATTTCTGGGAAGCCCGGATCCTCTGGGACCCGGCAGCTGCGACCTAGATGCTCACTGGCCCGAGAGGTCAAAGCGTGTAGGCGCACGACACCACACGGAAGTGCCCACGCAGCTTTACCCACACTAGGGAGAGACTGCACACAGCCCGGGCGCCCACCAACAAAGCAGAGAGACATAAACTGTGGTGCGGACACGCAGCAGACGCCACTCTGCACTAAGAACAAACTGAAAAGACCAACGTGGACGAACCGCAACGCACGCTGCGTGGATGGCGCGCTCAGGAGCACACACTGTACAGCTGCATCTGCAAGAACTTCCACAGCAGGCAAATCTAGTGCAGTGGGAAATTGCCGGAACAGCCCTCACCTCTGGGGGACGAGGCTGGGCAGGGAGGGCGGGGTTGGACCAGGGTTCGGGTAGAACAGCGCGAGCACCTGTCACGGCCAGCGAGCACACACGTAAAATGCGCGCACCTCAGTGCAGCTGAACTCTACACTGACACTAAACGCTGACCTCCACCCGATGGGCGCGCTCACGCGTCTGGGGGCAGGACGTCCATGCTTTCTCAGACATACATCAGGAGACACCTGATGGATCGACAGGGCTACAGAGAGCTGGACACACAGACGAAACGAGCGCAGTAAAATCTCCACAGTAGGATCCAGGTGGGGTACATCAGCGTTCACTGTAAAGTTCTTTCAAGTTAGCTAGACACTTGACGTTTTTCAAAATAAAAGGGATTTTTAAAACCCCGACAATGACATACCATTTCATGCCGCTCAGAGTCACAAAATGCGCAGGTTGGTAGAGCGTGAACGAGCGGTGCAGCAACAGGACGCTCGCCTGTGCGTGTGCACACGCGCTCCTGCCAGCACGGCCTGCAGACTGCAAGAGCAATGGCCTGTTACCTGTAGAAGGGGGAGTAGGTCACGGCGTGCTCCACAGTGGAATGCTGGACGGCTGTCAGTGTCTGCAGCTTAAGAAGACAGACCCTCAAAATACAGAATTATTCACACGCGGTGCTGTGGGGGGACGTGGATGAGACAGAATACGGCCTTTGAAAAACTTAATACGTTCACAAAGGAGCAGATTAGCACTGCCTCCATTTCTAATTTAATAAAAAGAATGGTTTACATTAAACCCACGTGTCAGCTTATCTGGAGGTTTCCATCACTGATAAAACTGAACAGACAGCAGACAGAAGTCACCGTTCCCCACACGCCAGGCCTCACCTGTTTCGAGTAGCCCCCGTAGACGACTATGCTGCCCTGCGGCGTGACGGACATCTGGCAGCCTGAGCGGGGCGTGGGCCCTGTCCCTGACGGGCACAGCTTGCTCCACGTGAACGTGTCCAGGTTAAAGGCGTACACGTCGTTGTAATAGACGTAGTCCCTGGTTAGAACAAAGCAGCACACACTGTCACAGTCGGGAACGTCGGGAACGGCAGTGACGTTAAAAAGTGAGCCTGATTTAAATTACAGGTCGATTCCCTGCCATTGACTAAGTCATCTGTTTAATTAAATTCATACGAAAGGACCACAAGCACATGCGTTCCTACTGGAAACTAGAAATAAGATCGGCCCACGGAAGTACAGTAATTTAATCTCCAAGTTATACTTCCTCACACAGCCAACAGCGTCACAGTCTTATACATAATTACACTAGCTCACTATCATGTTTTTATACATACACATACACATACAAAAAAAGGGCCGGGCCATTCAAAACAAAAAACAAATAAAAAACCAAACCAACAAGCCCCAAGGCAAAACAAAAAAAACCAAAACCCCGCAGGACCTGGCAAAACCCTGCGCAGGAGTCGAGGGAGGGTGGGGGCAGGGCGTTCCCAGGACGCCGAAAGACACCAGAAGCAAGCCCGAGTCCACAAGCACGAGCGAGGCAGAGAATCTGAGGCGCCCAGAGGCACTGCGACCCTGCCCTGCTCAACACCTCTGGGGCTCGGGTGCCCAGGGACGCAGAACACAGACAGGACTTAGAAAGGGGGCAAGCGCTGTGCGGGGGGAGCAGCGGCTTTGTGTCCGATGTGGGAATTTTACAGAATGGTGAGAGACTGCTCTCCAGCTACTCAGACAGGAGAGCTAAAACCAATCTTTAAAAGAAGAAAACGTGAAAAAAGTGAGAAACTCTGCCCCAAGTCCGAAGTGACCATTTTTCTCCTTCATGTTGTATCCAAATGATCCGAGTTTGGGGCTGGGTGCAGGGGCTCACACCTGTAACCCCAGCACTTTGAGAGGCCAAGGAGAGGGATTGTTTGAGGCCAGGAGTTTAAGACCAGCCTGGGCAACACAGCAAGACCCCATGTCTACAATAAATTTTTTAAAGAATTAGCTGGGCGTGGTGGCACACACCTACACTCCCAACTACTTGTGAGGCTGAGGCAGGAAGATTATTTGAGCCCAAAAGTGCAAAGTTATACTGCCCTATGAGCCTGCACTCCAGCCTGGGCAACAGGGTGAGACCCTGTCCCTTAAAAAAAAAAAAAAAAATCTAAGTTTGAAGCTCTAAAGCAAAGTGCAAACTCCTCGCTGCTGCATGCAGGAGAGCTGGCACAAAGTGAGGCTTTGCTCTACCGCACCCTCAGATACCACGCAAAGCAGGGTGTCGTGTGGCAGGGAGAGGCGCTGGGTGCTTCCCCAGTGCTGTCTGCCACGTGTGGTCTTAGGTTAACGGACAACCTGAACTTGCTGACTGCAATGCAAACCAACGGCCCCTTTTGCAGCAGAACATCTCTTAACACAGAAACTGAGGGGCCGCGAAGCACATAGTTAAGACCCTGCTTTGCCCCACTGTTCTCTCAGATTTCACACTGCAAATTTCGGTAAAGAAACTCCACTCTGCACATGAGATAAACAGCAACTGCTTCAAGGAAAACTCATAACGTTGGTATTTAAAAGCACGACTGTTTAATATGGGAGATGATTACAATACTCTGAAATAATGCTTTGTAAATAGTCATCTTAAACAAGACAACAACAGCTCTGAAAAAGTTCTGATTTTAAAATGGCCACAAGTTAAAACTTGGTTCAATTTATAACCCATAAGTGCAAAGGAAGGGGCTGTGGGAATCTTACTCCCTGTCCCACGCACAGTAGGGGCTAAATTAATGCACTGACAAACTTGTGGATCCCCATGTCTGCATTTTGACAGTTGTTTAAAAAAAAGTTTCCACATAAATGACCCTCACGCACAAATTCTCAAAAATGGCCCAGGTGCTCTTCTCCAAAAGTGACCAAGTGACCAAGCACGGATGGCAGGTCAGAACAGCATGGGCCACAAGCCGGGAAAAGCAGAAAACAGGGACAAATCCGCAATCTTTTGTTTAAGGACGAGCTCTGCTGTTTGTCAGTTACCGTGGCCTCCGCATCTTTAACTCGGGATGACAACCTGCCTACCGACGGCGTGGCTGTTAAGAGAACATGTGTAAGAACACTTGTCCCTCCCAGCTTACCCGGCGCTGCCTTCCTCATACATGTTTGAGGATTTATTTTCGTGAACCAAATTTATCTGATGTCACTCCATGAATTAATATTAAACGTGTTTGGGGACAGGATTTGTCTTAGGAGTTTTGCAGAGCTTTGCCCTGAAGGAATATGTGAACGCGTTGGTTTGCATTTCCAATGCTGTTACACTCGTATACTTGGAAAGGCGTCTCCGAAAGGCAGTAGCGGCTGTATCCCACGAGGCGCCGCGTTTCTCAGACCTAAAGAATTGGATTTGCTTTGTAAAGCACAAGTGAATCTGTTAAAAACTACAGGCTGAGAGCTGACAATGGAGTGCCCTCCGGAACAAACAGCTTCCCAGAAACAACAACTTCCCGAATGGCTAAAAGCAAAGCTTTTGTTTAAACCACTCTGGACTACCTGTCTCCATTCACAATAACCTAATAAACATGGAGCCTACATATCTCTGTTTAACCCCTCTGTTTAAATGATAAACTTATCTTAGAATTTAGAAATTAACCTTTGAAAGACTTTGTAACCGTTTGCTCACGTAAATAGAATTAGTTAAAGAATCTGTAGAAGCCTTCTGTAAAAGCCTTTTGAAAATCTGTTAACCTGAGAGGAACTACCTGCTGTTATGTGAATCCGTTACCCCTGGCAATTATTCACTATTTCCTATAAGTTACCATGTAAGACCTCATTCGGGGCCTTTTGAGACCCACAGAGAGGTCTAAGCCCCCTGAGCTCCCGCTTTGCCTATAATCTTTATAAACTTATAAAACTATATCTTTGTCTCAGTGTATTCTTTTATTTCTTCCATTTTCCATTTCTCTCTATTATTTTCTTATCCCTTGCAACTCTACCAAAGGGACCCGGTTTTCTGCAGGGAACACTGGCCACGTTCCCGGCAATCTGAAAACATTTGTGCAACTGGATTCAAAATGTAACAAAAATGTGAATGACACCATCACAACTAATAGATTACTGTTATTCTTTTTAAAAAATAGTAGTAGAGACTCGTGCAGGAAGAGCAGAGCATCCAATAGGCCGATGCAGAGAAAGACGCAGCCTCCTCTGATGCCGCACAGCCCACAGAAAACACCGCAAAGATGGCTTCCCCGGGCTCATGGCAGCCCGCGACACTGTGCGCAGGATGTGACTGCGTCGAGACAGGATCAGTAACAACCTGCTCGCCTGTCTTGCTTTTCTGGCCTGCACCAAGGAAGCTCAGGAAGGCATGTGTGCAGACAACGGGCTCAGAACAGAGAACCCGCGGCTCGCCCAGGGAGCGCTGCAGCTGCACAGATATAAACGTGAAACAGAGAACTGAGAACGTGGGCCATCGCTGCTGTCCCCAAGAGGAATGTTTTTAATTATCATAGACCAGTGGCTCTCTGAGTGAGGTCCCTGGTCAGCAACGTCAGCATCAAGTGGGCGCTTGTCGGAAATGCAGGTTCTCAGGCCCCGCCCAGGCTGCCGGGTCAGGGCTGGCAAGCAGAGCTGCAACGAGCCCTCCAGGGTCTTCTGAACCAGGCCACAGTTTGAGGACCCCATTTTACACAGGACTGGCCACATCATTCGCAGGGCCTGGCGTAAAATTAAAATGTGGGGCCCCTTGTTCAACAACAATTAACAATTTCAGTGCAGTGACAACAACACAACACCAACCAGGCGCAGCGCCCTCTGAGCACGGGGCCCTTGATGGGTGCCAGAGCCACGCGCTGGCGAAGAGGACGGGGGCATTTTCCACGCGTACTCAGGAGGGTCTTCCATCAAAAGTCCACCCCTGATGCTTCAGCAAAGACAGACTTTTCTGCTATTGGTACCAACCTTGCACTCTCATGGAAGCCACCAAAAAGGATTAACTGTCTCTTCCAGGCTACCATCCGATGTCCACTCCGACCTGAAGGACCTCCTGTTGCTCTAAAATGAAGGAAACAAACAAAAAAAAGCTATAAATCTGCTTAATTTCTAGTTGTTCTTAAAAAAAAAAAAAAAAACCAAAAACCTCTTCTACACTGATTTCCATTTTGTAAGCACTTACTGTGTAGCATTTAGTCTGATCCACAAGCTACCAAAACCATCCTGATAGAGCCCAGCTGGCTACTGTAAAACTTCAAGAATAAAACAGGAGAAAATCTCCATGATCTTCAAGTGGATAAGAATTTCTTAGGTAAAACATAATAAACTGGACTCCATCAAAATAAAAAAATTTCAAAATACATCATTAAAATATAAGAGGCAAGCTGGGAGGAATATTTTCAAACATACACCTCATAAATGACTTTTATCCAGAACAATCTTAATAATAAGATAAACGACCCAATAAAAATATGGGCAACAACTCAGCCAGGACTTCCTACAAAAAAAAAAAAAGGAAGAAGAAGAAGAGCAGGAAGAGGAAGAGGATTAAGAAGAAAAAGGAAAAAAAAGAAAAACATATGGGCAAAGATTTGAACAGAAAGTTCGCGAGATAGAAAAACAGTGGGAAAAAAGATGTAAAATGGCCAGTAAAAACATGAAAAGGTGTTCAGCGTCATTAGTGGTCAGGGAAATACGAACTAAAACCACAAGGAGATCCTACCACACACCAGAGTATCTAAAATAAAGAGACAACACCAAGTGCTGGTGCGGACCTGGAGCAACTGGAACTCACTCACACGGTGCTGGTGGGAACGGAAAACGGTGCAACCACTTTGACAGTTTCTTGCAAAACGTAAACTGAGCATACGATTTGGCAATTTGACACCAGGTATTTACTCAAGAGAAAAGAATACACAGGTCTACACAAAGACTTGTATACACATTTTTAGATGCTTTAATCACAACTGTCAAAAACTGGAAACGGCCAAGTTGCTCTTCAGTGGAAGAATGGACAAATTGTGGCGCACCCACAGGATGGAATACTTCTCAGCAAAGCAATTACTGCAGAGCCTGCAGTACCAAGCTACTCAAGAGGCCGAGGATCACTTGAGCCCAGGAGTTTGAAGCCAGCCTGGACAACACAGTGAGACCTCTTCTCTTAAAAAAAAAAAAAAATCATTTACTGATACACACAATAATATGGATGAATCTCAAAAACATCACACTGAAGAGAAGCAGGCACCGCATATGAGATTCTTAAAAGGTAAGATTAGTCTACGGTTGACAGTAGGGGCTGGGGCCTGGAGGGGCAGAAGGGAACTTTCTGGGGTTCTACATCCTGATTGTGGTGGTGGTTCCATGGGTATATATATTTGTGGGAACTCATCTAACTGTATACCTAAAAAACATACATTTTATTGAATTTTACTGTAATTATACCTCACTAAAACTGATAGAAAAATGTATGGCAATTATCTGACATATAATATCAGTGGGAAAAAAATAAAAAAAAATAAGAAAAAAATGTCAATACAAAACAACAGAAAAAGAAGTGAATTTAAAACCTTAAGAATATAGACAAATAATAGAAACAAAACTAAAATCAACCTCCGCAGTAAACAAAGAATTGTAAATAAAAGCAGTATTCTACCAATTAGACTTAAAAAATTTGTGTCAACACTAAGTTTTGGGGGAAAAAAGGACTTAAAAAATCAAATTCCTTAAACTATCGTATGTCACGGGAAAATGCTCAAAAGTAGTAAGTGAAACGGCAGGTTACAAAGCAAATTATTACATAAGGTTCTAAAGCGAGGGTTGTCAGTGGTTTCATTGCTGTCTTCTTCTTTCCTGCATTCCCCAAGTTTCCACCACTGAACAGGTATCACTTTCACAACCACAGAAAAGAACAAAGACAAAACAAAGAGGGGGTGGGGGTGGGGACACGCTGGGGCCCCAGGTACCCGGAAGCTCTCGGACAAAGACACACCTGCTGCAGGTGCATGTGCACCCCCCGCATACCTCCCAGAGCCACGGACAGGCAGGGCCTTAGTGAGAGCCGGCAAAGTCACCGTGCTGCTCCCCAGGCCCCACTCCCACGTAGAACTCAATCCCCGGGCTCCTCTGCACCTGTCCTCTCCAGAGGCCTGCCCCCGCCACCACCTCCGCAAAGACCGCCACAACTCCAAGTTGCAAAGGACGGTCACAACCTCAATCACAAAATTTGGTACCTATTTATATAATGCATTATTCCATTTATTTTCGTGCACGTTATTTATATAGCTTTCCCCAAACCCACTCACAGGGTTTACACAAAATCTCACACCTGGCAGGTACCCTAAAAATACACCAATGTAGAATCTCACAATTAAAAGCAAGCTTGAGTTATCTAAGACAAACGCCTACCCTTTAAAAATTTCAGATGAATAGTTTTTTTTGCTTATAGCCAAGCTTTATTATGCATGAACTTGACTTCACGTACAAAATTGGAATGGCAATGTTACTTAAAATTAACTCATTGAAAAGTTTAAATATATTATGGATATATACTCTCCGAAATTCCACAAGGCAGGCATTCAAACAGCAGTAATAACAGGTATTACTACCCATCCTCGGACAGGTACGGTGACAGCATAAGAACACGACACTTCCCAAATCTGCATGTCTCGCCCAGAGCCATGCTAGTCTTCCCGGCATCGGTCCGATTTCAGCGCAGGTGCTGCCAGGGCAAGCGCTCAGGTGAACGACTCACGCACAGCCCTGGCCCCAGCTGGGATGAATTTGGTTCTCCCTGTTCAAATGCTGGATCATGCTGGACTCCCTCCTCTAATTCTCTCCACTTTACAACGTCCCTTTCACGTGTCACTCAACATGACCACCACACCCACATACCTGACATACCCGACAGCCAACCAGAAGCAACCCACACCTTCTTCTAGACACCGTACGCCGAGGAGCCCGCTGGGCAGCCGCCTCACATACCGATTCCTATCAAATCACAATTCGCCAAACCCCCTGGTCCACTAGCAGGGCAGCCGGCATTTTAGTCATCTCCCCCTCATCCTACGTTTACACGCACCCTACAAGGGAAACTTATTCCACAAAACAATTCCGTCTTGCTAGATTTGCTCCATGAAGAAAACTGTGGATGCTGAATTCGTCAACCACTTTACTTGCTCTCCCCCAGCTTTGTATCACCCACAAATTTAGTAAGCACATTTTCTTGCCCAAGTTCATAATAAAAAAAATACCAAAAGCTGTGACAAGGCTCAGAAGAGAGGGTCTGGGGCATGCCTGATGACGCCCCGGCAGGTTTACGTGGCCACTGGGAGCTGGAGAGCCCCTTCGACCAACCACCCCACGCGGCGTCCCCTCTGCACGGTGGAGACGGCCCTCTCCTGCAAGCTGGCCTTGCCTCACGGTTCAAGCAGACTCCGCGACATCCACATCCCCTCCACGCCACGTGCGGAGGGGACACGGCCATACAACCTACTCGCTGCACATCAGATCTGAATGAGAAGGAAACCACCACTCAGTGGGCAAGAAACAAACCCCCTTCTGAGAAATTTTCTGATATTTTACTTTACAAGAACCATCTGCGGAACAGACTTTCATTCAACAACTCACCTGGCGCGCTGGCATCCGAGTCTGCTTCAGAAAAAGGCGCAGAGGAGAACCTGAGCGCGCCGGCATTCGCCTAATACCCAGATCCAAGGCCGAGGGTGAGCTGTGCCACCACTGACGATGCCACAGAGCCCCGCAGGCCCCAGGCTAAGACCCCTGTCGGCTCCTCATGTGGGAAGCCTACGGGTGACTGTCCTCTGGCTGAGCCAGGCACGAAGGACTCAATTAACTTTTCGTGGCAACAGCCAAATACCACTGTTTTGTAACTAAAAAGGGACATTTTTTTCTATAAAAAGATTTCATATCCCTCTTTAGAAAAATAAAGCCACTCAAAAGAGCCCATTTATATTTGAATTTCCGGCAGGCTTTTCAAGTGCTGTCACCCCTAAATATGGAGGCTTAAAAAATTAACATGTCCTACTCAGCCACAAGTCTATAAATGGCATAAAAACACACACGTACCGTTGTGGAGCCAGTGCTCCGAGGCTCCTGTGAGCTGTGTGCAGAGCAGTGTTCCAACGGGGCGCGCTGCCAGTCAGCGTCACCACCAGGCCCCTCGCACTGGGCCGCCGCAGCGACATTTACAGAAAACGTGTGTGCATCAAATAACTCCACGTGCTCAGGGCACAGAGAGTTGAGCACTCGGCACACAAACGCTTCCCTGAGGTTTTTCTAAGTTCGCACCTTACAAAATTACACACTGTACAGCCCCACAGTGCTTAATGGCGGGAGATGTTCTGAGACGTGTTGTCAGGTGATGTGCGACCATCAGTGTGACTTACACAAACCTGGATGGGAAGCTGAGGCTGTTTGGTGTAGTGTGGTGCTCCTGGGCCGCAAACCTGCACAGCAAGTTACTGCGCTGAGCACTGCAGGCACCTGTGACCCGACGGCAAATGTTTCTGTATCCAAACACAGAAAAGGTGCAGTGAAAGCACGTTACTGCAGTGGTCAGTCGACCATCCTCCACGCGATCCTTCGCCGAAACGCTATGCAGCTCATGACTGCAGCAGCGTCAACACCACGCAAAAGAAAAATCTCTATCTTGACCCCTGAACGCAAAGTCACACAGGCCAACAGGGAACTGAGTCTAGCGGCTCCTCCTCAACAACGCTCTCAGAGCGGCACGAGGCGGCCCAAGCAGAACCGCGGGCAGGGCCCCTCCCTTCTCATCGCAAACCGTGTGCCTTTGCCGTCCAGCCCTGCTTTCCCACGTACCAAATTCATCAAACAACCAACCTTGGGGTTTAGTGAAGTACGGGATAGTGAATCATATTGAATGCCTTATTAGTAGCAGTCTCCCGAATTCAGGCAGCCTATAAAACTAGGTCCTAGCTTCATTTTAACTATCACTACTAATAGTAAAACTGCCGTTTAAGGACCATTTATCCTACACCACGCACGGTCCATCTACGAGCATTTATACCTCACAGCAACCT